CGGTTAATGGGGCGCATTGCTTCAAGGGCACCTAAAAATGAACTATACTGATTTTATTTTAATTTGCAGTCAAGAAAATTTATTTCATTATAAATTCAAATACGTTAAAAATATGACTGAACTTATAACTAGACTTTTTGAAATTTTGTAATGTCACATAAACAAGTATATCAGTTTAAAAATATTGTAAGGCGTTAATCAGAGAACAGGTTATTTTCCTCCCCCACCCCTCAATTATTTTATTTGGTTGATATTTTCGTTGCGCTATAGGCGCGTAAATTCCTAGTTACATCTCTGATTGAGTGACAAATTTGTTAAGACGGTCCTGATAGAGGGAGCCTGGATCCGTCGTCATATCGGTAAAGGGGAGGTAGGGGTTTGCATTCAAACGTATCCGTTAATTTGGGGGAATATCTCCTCCTTTTCGTAGACCTGACAGGAAACTCCTATCTAAATGAAAACTTGGTTTAACTTTTGACCTCACAGTTGCAACAATAAAATTCGATTGTCGTATTGTATGAAAGGCTTCTTGTCTAGATACCTATGTGTGTGTCCTTCCCTTGTTACACAACGCTGCGCGTGTCGTCCGACCACCCTCAGTCACAGGTATTGTGAAATCTGTTTCAGACACGTGGGGTTGAATCTTCTACGGCCACCACCCACAGCCTAGCTTGTTCAAGAAGTTACCTCTCGCAGCAACAAAGGCTATCAGTGTAGGAGAATCGGAAAAAAGGGATAATTTTTCACCAGTCCAGGTGTACAATGGAGAGATGGTATCTGAAAAGCGACAGAGATTAAAAAGATATCTTATATCTAAATGAAACAAATGGAAAATGATTTTGATCTGGTAGTGATAACAAATCCTATTTTATCGCGTTAATATTTGAAACTTCTCACACGCGTGGATGGTTGACTTAAATCAGGGCTTCACGAACAATTGATCCGAACTTCAAATGGAATCTCGAATAATAATTTTGGGGCGCGGAAACACTGAAAGCAAGTACTTCTAATACCTTCTTCAATATCAGCTAGTAAAAATAATTCCATTCTAGATTAAACTTTTATAAATAAATTTATTTATTTAAAATTCTTTTTATGTATCGTTATTAAATTCCTATTTTATTACGGTTGAGGATGAAAAAAAAGTGTCTTTTATGGAGTTCTACTCCATACGATACATTCTTGGACTTCCACATCTGATTATTTATTATATTAAATATTAAGAGTTATATAATATTGAAATTAATGTAAAATGCTCTCAGTTAAAAAGCACTAAATAACTGTTGAATCAAGTTTACAAGTAATTAAATGCAAAAGTTAATGTTTTAAAAGTATGGAGGATAATTTAAAGTTTATTAACTATTTTAAACACTTTTACTTAACTTGGCTCGTTTCATGCTTGCAACTATGGGATTTTTGCTATCGATTTTTCACTCATTTCCTGATGCGTTACAGTCCAGAAATTTTCTACACTTGTGCGTTTTTGATAACGCTCAACATTTTAAATATCTCAAGAACTTCATAATCAGTTAATCGATTAATTTAGCTAAATTTCGGTTCCGTACCAGTGGCGTCTTCTGGTAATGGATTTCATTACCAGAAAATTTAAAGATTCCGTAATATTTATAATGATGAATTATAAATTGAAGACTAAGTGTAGAAAATAATTTTAAAAAAATACTGCTCCTTTGTACAAGCGTGTTTTTAAAAAGTGTCTTTATTGAATTTATTTCCATTGTCCCATTGACAAACAAAAAAGGTTATAATTTTTCCTAACGCTTTTTAAATATTAACAACAAACCTCCAATGAGATCCGAGAAGTAAGAATTAAAAAGTAACGGCTATGATTATTTTTCTAAGAAAGTAACAAATTTATAAGTATGAAGTAATAGATTTATTAGTAAGAAGTGACAGATTTATAGCTGCTACAATTTTGTAAAAGGGACTCCAGAAGAAAAGATTAAAGAACCCCTATTGAAACATTTTATTGGATAGGCAACGCTCTGTTTTATGAAAACACTCTTAACACGTTCGCTGCCTTGATTCACTCTGAGATTCGAACCATCTATCTAATTAGACGACCTCTTCTCTGCTTCCTCTTAACTACAGAAGAGAAGGGTTCATTTAATTAGACTTTATGAATCGTATTTGATTCATACGACGATCAACGTGTTAAGTATTTGAATAAAAGAAAAAAATGATTGAACATAAAAAAGTCAAATAAGATTCTGAGAATTAATAAAAGTAACGAGGATATGGGGGGAAGAGGGAGGGAGATGTTAAAATAGGGGGGAAAAAGGGGAGTGCACTTTAAAAAGGATGTCATAAATTTCTTGATTCAATTTTTTGGAAAGAGACGCGATATTCCTCTGCGAAATTTCCCCCTTTGAAACTAATATACGAATGTTAAAACAAATTGCGCCCCCGGGTGGGCTCGAACCACCAACCTTTCGGTTAACAGCCGAACGCGCTAGCCAATTGCGCCACGGAGGCTTCGGTGCATTACCATTTTGAATGCTTTTAAAAAAGTTGGAGGAATAAGCAAGGTAATTCGAAATAACGACCTAGTTTTGGGATCATTTTTACAACCGAAATATAATTAGGTGTTAATCGGTTTATTATTGCTGTTACTGAATGTTCCTTGTAAAAACCTATTTTGGTTTAATTTTTTGTTTCCGGATCCTGTTTGGCAGTTCCTATTGCGTTGCCATGACAACAATAAAAGCGGTCACCTGACAAAATTGTTGGAAGATGCATGCCGCGTTTTAGATGAAGTTTTCAATTCAGTTGGTTTTTTAATAGGTTCACAAAAATGGAAGTGAATTACATTCATTTAAATTTTACTGCGATGAAAGTATTGGCATGCAATTTTTAAAAAATTTTCATAGGTAACCAATTGTGTCACGCCTTTCTTCGGCAACGATCTTTTCCCCCCCCCCCCCATTATTATTCACATGCGAACGAAACGAAATGTTATGCGCCCGTGTTTTAATTTATTTAGTTCTTGCATTTTCTCTCTCTCTTTTCTTTTGACGTCTGAAGTTTTCAACGTATTTTTTTGTCAATATTTTGAAAGTTCTATTGTTATTGTACGGTATATTGAGTAAAAATATAAAAAAGCAAAAGTATTTTCGCATTTTCATTCACACCATACTATTATTAAGGCTAGATTTGAAAGTTTTAATTCCACAAGAAAGCACTCAAAGTAGATTTAAGACTTTTGGAAAAAGTTAGTGATTATATTTGTAGAAGAAAAGAAACGGAGGGAAGCATATGAAAAAATTTAGATCCCGAACAAGGCCGGGTTATCAGATAATAATTATTAAAATTGTTGAATATTAAAACGAAATATTTACAGCCAGTTTTTAGCTTAAAAATTGATATTCTCTCTTGCTATACTCACTTTTAGACCCGATTTTTCTTAATTCGAATATTTGGATAAATTAAATTTTTATTGCGGTTCCCTTAAATTCAAATCAGCTGTAATGTTAAGCATTGCTCTTTGAACCCTCAATCTACAAAACATGTGCATAAATTTTCAAACCGATACAGTATCGCTTTGCGAAGCTTTTAGTTTTCCCTGAGATAACGTCTTTGAAATAACGTTCCCGTGAGAACTTCTCAGAGGAAAATAAAACTGTTTTCTTCTTGTATACATGAATCCCAAGTCACTCAATAGTTTCTTTTAACGAGCAATATTTCCGAGATAACCCTATCCCGAAGTTGCAATTTTATCTTGCGCCGGCCTCACACAAATGCTGTTTGTGATTCGGCTAATATTAGATTGCGTTTATTTACTTCGTTTCTGTTAGCTTCACATTTTGCCGCCAGAAAGCGAATGCTCCTTGAAACCAAAATGACCAGATGTCAAGGATTATGAGAATGTTCCATTTTATGATTCTTTTTCCTGGTTGAATCCTGAATTTGAATTAACGTCCCGAATGGCTCCTTTTTTTTCATTTATTACTAAAAAATCCGAATTAAAAAATTGATTAGAAATGTTGGCTTTTGAAGAATTCTCTATGCAAAATTTTACTATACATACAGTGACCATGTTCGAATTAACTGTGGCACTCCAGATTTCTCATACTCGTCTTCAGACGCAGCCCGAAGTAAGGTTACTAACCGGGCAAGGAGATAATATGGCCCCCCCCCCCATCAATGTATTTTTTTGCATTTTATAATGTCTGTATTCTAAATGTCAAACAAACTTTTACTCAAAACTATGTACATTTTACCTGCAAGTATGACTTAATTTGGTGAGAATTTTAAAACTTCGGGCAGTTGCCCGGTTTGCCCGAGCCGCCTCTGCTTGTCCCGGATTGTCCTTTTATCACTTATGTATAATGAATTAATTATTTGAAAGAATAAATAGATTTAATCTCAAAAAAAGTAAATTTTTCCTCTCAAAAGAGGAAGATACTAAAGAATTCTCCTTCCTAGGTTTTGCTATACAGAAAATGACCATACACCCCAAGTAAGCTGAGATAGTACCGATTTTCGTTTTCTTTTTGGGGGGGGGATTAAAAAAAATGTCCCGGATTTGAATTAAATGTTCTGGATTTCTTTTTTCCCTTCTTATCAGTAATAGATCATATTTACACCTTCGCATACAGTGATGTGTCTGGAACATGCATTGAATTACAGAATTTTTGATATTTAAATCTATAATTAAGTCAAAGTAATAATTCATTTAAAAGTCAAATATTACTTGGACACAATTAAGCATCTCAGGTCTTTTATGATCTTATCCAGATTGGAATAAAAATAAATGTACGAAATAGACTGCGCCATATGGAGATTCTTTTCAAATGCCGCGCTATTAAAAATCAAAAATGCTATTTTTACAAACGGTTAAATGAAAAAGTATTTTAAGGAAATTTTTTGAAACAGTGTTGATAAGGCGATAAATGCAAAATAATATTTCCGATTACATTATACCTGGAAAATCTTGTTATTTTGAAATACTTTAGCTATTCTTCGTCCCTTATAGAAGTGCCCTCAATATAACGAAGCCTTCAAATGGTTAGCGCGTTCGGCTATTAACCGAAAGGTTGGTGGTTCGAGCCCACCTGGGGAGCATATTATTTTGACATTTGCAGACAAAACATGCCTAGTATGTGTATTGCTGACACTCACAAAAGGGAAACATACATCGCATCACTTTCAAACACGTTAAATAAATAAATAACAACTTTTTTAACGCACGTCCCCCCCCGGCCCCCCCCGGGCCTAAACTGATTTTTTTAATAAAAATCATTGTTCAAACTTTTATTAATTCTGGAAGTATTACTTTGTTTGCTTTCATTTTATTATTAAAAGAATTATAAACGTATTCTTGAAACAATATGTTTTCTACCCAAAACCCAGAAGCTATTTTACTAATAATATTATTTTATATGAATTCTTACAATGACGTATTTGACTTGTGCATCGATTCACAGAATCTTTGCTTTTATATCGATAACTAAGGTAGAGTATCGATTAATTTAAAAGACAAAATTCATCGGGCATGCAGGGAAGACAGTTGGAACCAGAGGCACTAAATGTGACAAGTAGTTACTGCTTGGATAGTAGGTACTCAGTAAGAAAGGGTTTATAAAATTTTAATTAGAGTTTTAATTATATTTCCGTACAATGTTTTCTCTAATTTTAATAATTTTTTAGAAATATTTTTAATTATATTTTACAACAAAACGTTTCATTATTATAGTTACTGCATTTGAACACGCGCGTTGCAGCAATATTTAACACATTTTTTTCTGTTATCGTTGCTATAATTATGAGCCAATTTTCGCTTGCAAAGATGTTTCGGTCTGGAGGTTCCAATCTCCTTATTTTCCTTTTTTTAAGGTTTTAATAAAATAACACTGGAACTTTGATTTCATTATATAGAAAGAAATACCATAAACAAATATCCTGAATATTTCTGATCGACAAATGCCAAAGTTAATAAGACTTTACGAGTCCCATAAAAACAGACGAAAGAATTTGCTATAACTTAGACCCATCAACAACGAAAGGATTTCTACACACCACATTTGTCTGGAAAATTTATTTAAAAACCCTGATACATCCTTTTTTTTATTTCAACGTGAGAAGGACAAGGGAAAAAAAAAACGCATTCCTTCATTAATTTCATACAGTCGAGCGTCTTAAATTTCTTTACCAAACGATTCGCCGACAAAAACTTCCAATCCTGAAATTTTTTTTATAGATCCCGCATGTCTTACGTCAATCAAAGCGAAAAAAAATATGCAATAAAAAAAGACTTGCACAAATTCAGACTATCTGGTGGACTAAAATGGTTTCGAATCGAGTTGTCGGCCTCCTTATTTATCTATTTGCTTACCCTCAATTTGACCTCAAGTCAGTTAATTGGCAAGTCCAAGAATGCCCATAGACAGGTGGAGTCGTTAGAAATTAATGAAAGTCAAGACGCTCAGCCAGAAGTTAATGACACTCGTCACTGAGATTCGTCCTGATTAATAACAGGAAATGAGGTGTCATATTACTTATATTGTTTTCGGAGGTGTTCGTCGGCATTACTTAAGGCTGAATTATACTTCTATGAACTACTATCTTCGAGGGAAGAGTAGTAATTAATAAGCAAGAATCGTGGATGTCCAGTTGCATTTTTCGTATGCGTTTGGCAAATCAATACAAATAATAATTACGGCCAATTTCAATCTCAATACAGCATAATTTGGCAAATTCGAGCCTTTTTAATCTGAATTAGTAGAATTTTCTCTCGAGTTCTTTGCGTTTCTTATTAATATAATGTCAAAATATCGTCTATGATTACGTCTTTACTTTTTGTCTTCAGAATGCAAATGAATCCTTTTTAAGGCTCTTGCATTATGTATTCAAAATGCTGTATACTGCTTTTTTATTCAAACTACTTACTTATTTATCGAATTTTTTTATTTTTTAAATGATTAAAAATATTTTTAATTATAATTATTATCACTTTATTGATTAAAACTACTTTCTGCTTAATTAACACTTATATGTTACTTATTTAATTACGTGCTATTAATTATTAAAAACAATTCTTCACTTCCATTTCTAGCTTAATAATTGTAGTTTTCTTATGTTGTACTTATTTTTAGACACAGTTCTTCTTGATTCGATTTTTTTGAATTAATCGAATTTTTATTCTGGTCTCGTAAGTTTGAAATTAGTCACATTCACAATGAAAATAAATTCTGCGTTTTATATTTTCTTTGGCAAGAAATCAAATTAAGCTATAACTTGCCTTCGGAAATCATAAACTTTTTTTCATGTTTTATTTGAAAACCTATTCTTTTAAGTTCCTATAATTGTTTTTATATAATTTCATGATCACTAGAATGGAATTTTGAGACAGTTTAGTAGAATTGAACAGCTGAAAATGGAATTGTTTTATTTTAAGTTAAACGATATTTAATGTTTATTTTTTTAATTCCTAGCAATTCCCTTGTACAAGATATTATTTTGGAATATTTTCTATAAAAATATCTTTGTTGCTTATGACATTTTAATGATATTTCTTCAAATACCATTTGAAAAAAACCCTCCGACCTTAGTCAGATACCTTATAGTGTGTAATAAGTTATGACTTTATTTATTGCACCTGAAATTTCATTTACGGCCCTGAAAGTGTCCGTTTCAGTAGGGTAGTGGTTCCGGTTCGATCCCGGGCAGAAACAAAAGGGTTCCTCTTTTTTTCTTTACAAACTGAAGTAAAATTAATAATTTTTTAAAAAGAATATTCAACAAAATTAATAATGATAAATGTTCAAGCTGCAATTTTTTTCAAGCAAGTCATTTTAATTAACACTAATATATCAAAATCTAATATTCTTGCCTAGGGTTTTATTCTCTCATTTCAGATGTTGAATAACGCAACCAGGGACAGTTTTAAAAATTTACTTTTTAAAAAAAAAATCAGTTATTTTCGTTATACATAAATATCTCCCAATAAGATGGATTTTTTTTAAAGTCAAATTATAAATCGTTTTTTCAAAATTATTTTCCAGAATTTATAATTCAAACTGAGATTTTTCAAACGAGTCATATTTTTTACACTATCATATTAATCTCTAATATTCTTAGTTAGGGTTTCATTCTCTCATTTTAAGTGTTGAACTACACAATTCCAAAATCAGAAAAACTTTTTAATTGTGATTATCGTTCTGTATTCTCTGACAATTCAAGTTGTAAGGGCGCACAAGGCCACAGGCAGCTGTATCACCGCTGTATGACTTAATATGTGCATGCATTGGTTCTCGTAGCATGCGTGCGTGAGCAGCGCCACCTAGGATCTCGCATCGCACGTTTGATTAGGTGCTAATCGTTCGCCGCTGCTCAGTGTACGTGATAAACATGGCTTCCCAGCAAAATGGAATGAAAATCGTTGCAACTGCCTCATTTGTTGTGTGATTTTAAAGAAAAGAAAAAAAAATTGGTGTATTACTATATTGCTACGAAGACGGAATGTCAGTACACTATTAAATGACCTACGATTTCAAGAGTCATCAAGTCAATTTAAATATTTTGTCCAATATTTATATACGCAGCTTTTTGAGTTGGGTATGCTAGTAGGCCATTCTGACTTTCATTCCTCAATTGATACTACTTATGAAACTCAATGATGAGAACACTGAATTATGAAATTAATGTAGATGAAACAAATTATACTAAAGATAATGGAATAATTTTGAATGCGTCACAATTTAAAAATAAATGTCATTATCCTCTAAGAAAAACTGACAAACATAAATCATATGTTGGGGGAAAATGTTTTTGTCAAATAGATTTTATTTTAGTCTTTTTATCATTAAAAATATCTATTTTTCAACCTGAACTTTAATGCTATTACTATATATGACTATATGTCAACAAATAATTCATTTTTATCATTTGATACTGTATTAGATTTGCATACCCATTTTGATCTGTGTACGGTAAAACGGGTATAGAAAACATACATTTAAAAACAACAATATTTTGACAACACCTTTTAAGTGAAAATCTAAAAGTAGAGTATTTTAAATCCATTTTTAACCCCACATAACCATAGAATATTTTTTGTGAATGATAGTGTTATTGTAGAAGCTTTACCTTAAATTGTTCACCACAGAAATTGAAAGCTTTTTTTCCATTTAGAATTTTAAAAAATATAAAGCTTTAACATTGTCTTGTGAATTTCATTGAATAAAATTTATCTTTTTGTGCAATTTGTTTGATTTTTTTATCAACTACAGTTAGTGATGTAAAATACACATCTATTTATTTTTAAGAGGAAATACCCTGTGTATTTATCTGCGTAAATAACCAAAATGGGTATTTATTTTTCAATTAAATTCTATTCATATAAAATACATGCACTGGTGTGAAATATGATATTGCTATATAATATAAATATATATACAATATATATTGGGCAAAAGGTAAGGTAAAAAAAGTGAAACTAGAAATATTTGAACCTTTTACAACTTTTTAAAATTCTATAAAAGCTAAAAATTTTAATCAGAAAAAACGGACATAATAGTATATAATGCATCTTAAATGTTAATCCTTTTTTTTTTACAATGAGTAAATGAAAACTAATGTATTTGCTGCTTTTTAGAAAAAGAGAGTTATTTTAAGTAAAATTTTTAAAAAATGAAAATGTTGAGTTTTGTTTCAAAATTATAAAGAGTTGATAATGGAAACTAAACTAAAAGATTTAATTGTTTATACTTCTTTTAGCATAAATTAATTAAGGAACTAGGCATTTCTGATGAAAAGTTAGCAGATGTTTCAGTTCTAACAGCTTTTAAAAGTGTTATTGAACACGAACTTCTTGTGGCTGAAACTTGTATTATATGAAGATGTTACTAGACACACACCCATTTTACTGGCTAGGTGCGGTTCATTTGGATAATGAACATCAATACTTAAATTTTCTTGTAACTCCAAGTTTTATGTAGTTATCATGGTTGGATATATGTTTAAAACAATGAATCCCTTTCAAAAACCTTTTTTAAACCAACAGGGCTTTTGAAATATTTTTCATGTGTTTCTCCATTCTGCTTAAATTGGGATGTTTGTACTC